TGGCCAAATTGCCTTTCTTCTTTGTCAGATAGATGTCTTGAAATGTAATCAATTTCATTTTAAATCTTGATAGTTAACTTCGAGCTTGTTTTAGAAAAAGAGCGTGCACAATCACTGTGGTGTTGATTTTTCTTCGCTACGAATCGAGGGACAAATCAAAAGTTGACTGTCACATTGGGTCACTAGGCCTTTCCCCCTTAATACGCACGTATATTTTCAATTAACTTCGTTTTAAAATTCATTTTAAAATTCAGCTTAACTGTTCAAGCCTGTTCGAGGAAACTGTTCGTCCGATTTCGAAATGGACATTTCTCGTCGTATTTTGTTGTTCCTATTTCTGAAAAGGGAAAAAGAAAAACAGGAAAGAAGAAACGAGCTGCCTTTCATCGAGAAGACAAGAATTTTGAAAAATGGGAAAGGTTAATCGAGCTTGAACGAAATGAAAAATCAAACAAAATACATATTGTTTGATCAAACTTTTTTGTTTCGTCTATCATTTAATGCATGCATGTGTTAATTATCATACACGTATGACTTTTTACTCTGCATACTCCTAGAGGTAAGTGACAAAATAACCGTTACTTCCTAGAACCATAAGTGTCGATCCTGTCTTCACGCCACCATTGCATACGTGGCGATGCATTTGCCGTACGCGCAATTTGCATACATTGGCCTTTTCTGTGTACGTGTATTCCACTGGCTTAGTTCAGAACGTTTCTTTCGTCATCTGCTTGCAAACAACGATCCAAGGTTCCTCGTTTCATCGAGAAATCCTTTCCAATCGCATCAGAATGTGTAGTTAAGCGATATCGCGACAGATATCATTTACAACGTAACTGCGTGACTTTTAATCGGAGAGAGCTGATCTTCTCTCCGAGAAAGGAATGATTAAAGCAATGAAATCGAACGTGAGATACCTATCGTCGAAATTTGTTCCCATTCTCCCCGCTGGCAAACAAATCACGCGACCCCCGCGTTAAAGAACCCTTCTTATTAGGGCCATTGCGTAGCTACTAATACACCCGACTTCTCCAGCCCTGACTCATCGCTACAGCGTTACAACTGCCCTTAGGTATTACATCGATAATTCGCAATTTCTCTCCTTCGTCGAAACGTTCTTAATATTAATAATTAATAAACGAAGACGACAGAAAACAGAAATGGTAACGATGGCGAGAGTAATGTTGGCGAAGTTTCAACGTTTAAGCAACTGAAGGATCAGTTTACTTTGGCGTTCTTCTGAAAATTTGAAATGCAATGGCCGAACTCTGCTGCCGTTT